GCCTGAGCTCTGGCGGTCCCGGGCTTCGTGGGCTCAACGGGTGGAACCGGCCCGTGACGAGCCTAAGCCCATATGGTCCTGGACTAAACGGGTCGGGCTCGTGGGCTTCGCGGGCCTAGCAAGTTTTTTTTTAAAGGCAATTTCTTGTAGTATCATGGCTATATTAAAAATATATATGTAGTATATATGTAGAAATCTAGTTATTAAAGTGCTTGACGAAAAAAAAAAAAGAACGAAACAATAGTAAAACACTAAATTGTCATGCATAATAAATTAATAACAAAGTACAACATGAAGCATAAATACGTCTGATAATTTTGAAATAACACAAATTATTAAAAAAACCTTAAAGACGAATTCTTGGATAAATACCCTCAACACAATGCTTTATATGCCTCCTTAAAGTGCCTGTGGTTTGAACAGTACTAAAATTTAAGACTCTTCCACAGTTCTTGCACTTTAATTTTTGGCCTTCTTCATTTTCTTCAACCACTTCATAGTACTGCGAAATAAATAAGCGCACTCTTTCCGAACGAGGCATGATGTAACTTGAAAATTAAGATTGAGACTTGAAGTCTTGAAAATTGGAGATTGAGAGAAATTTAGAATGAGAAATGAGTATTGAGTATTGAAATGAAGAAGAGGGAGGTGGTATTTATAGTGGTAGAGAAGGTTAGTTTTGTAAATTGAAAAAAAAAACTTGTTTGAATTTTGATTTTTGAATTTTGAAAAATCTTGTTTTGTAGTATATATAGTATATATAATATATACTAGTATAGAATGTTATGTATGTATATTTCATTGTATATTGTCTTGTAGTATATATTGTATGCTATGTATATATGTATTCCCTTATATATTTTCTTGTAGTATATGTTGTATGTTATGTATATATATTCTATTATATATTTTCTTGTAGTATATATATTGTATCTTATGTATATATATTATAACTTATTACTTATATATTTTCTTGTAGTATATATTGTATGTTATGTATATATATTCTCTTATATATTTTCTTGTAGTATACTTATTACCGCAAGTTCCGCTATCATTTCTTCATAAGCTTCATCTATCGCCGGTTGTGATTCTGCAATTCCAAAGTTTCTTCTTTCCGAGCGGATCCGATTAGGTATATGAGTAAATAGAAATCCGATTAGGTATATGAGTAAATAAATACCGCAAATATTGTTCATATTCATGTTTGAATTTATAAATATCACTCTTAACTGTTGCGCGAGGCCAACCTTTATAAGTATGATTAAAAACTCTTCTAATGTAATGAACCCAATTATGATTAGAAGCAAAAGTATAAGGTAAGCACATAACAGTAATCATCTTTGCTAATTCTTCACGATCTCTATTTGGATCGTAATATAAAATACCTCCGGTGACAGTGTTAATTCCTGGTTGAACTAGATTTGAACCTGTACTAGGGTTAACCGCAGAATCTACACTTGTCCCCTCTAGCTGCGCTTTCATTTGAAAAAATCTAGCCTTATCTCTAGGGTGTGTTTTTATGTGCCTAGTCAAACTACC